GTATTTTTTTGTTTCAACAAGTCGGCCGTCTCCCACCGAGGCAGGGTAACCCAAAAAGATAGAAAAAAAAAAATCCCCAAAAAGAAAATACTTTCATCATTCAACACTTTCACCTCACTCACACATAATCACTGAAAGGTAGATAATAAAAATAAACAAACTGAAATCAGTCTGTTGAACCGTAAAATAATGCATTAAGAATATTGTGAAAAAATAATCCTGGTCATACATTTGCTTCCTCCAGTTAGCAGAAAATGTATGACCCTTCTGGTTTAACACTGTTTTGATTGTAATAGTTGAAGAAATTGTTTTTTGGAAAAATGTGGAAAGCCTTAAGTTGTAGGTGTTGGTATATTTAGGCCAGTGTGTGTAGGTTGGGTCCTCATTCTTATGTATCTTGGGGTCAGTTGCTTCCTCTTCAGTTTTGTCTTAATCTTGGTTTCATTAGCAGGATCCTATGGCAGATGCAAATGCAGTACTGTAGTATAATGTAATACTTCATTGATGACATGTTGCCCACACAGTGGGCTTTGCTAAATCAGGAAGCTGGGTGAGCACATTGACAAGCACAGCCAGGTTTATCTGTTAGTGACTTGATAAAGACCATTGCATGGGCATATCATATTGAAGGAGTGCATTATTCTGCACTCCTATTATACTGGTATTTTGTATTTTCTCAAGTGCAATCCTGTTGTCTGTATTGAATGTTTAATTTTTTGTAGAATTTTATCAGAAAATAATAATTTTTTATTTTCCTGAACCTCTTCAGGAGGTTCAAGAAATTCTAGCCTAGGTGTTGGGTAAAGGGTGGTTGTGTCCATCTCATTCCGTTGAGACCCTCGGTGGTGGCGTTTGCTGGATCATCTGGGGATGTTCCGATCCACCCTCTGGAGTCCTGGAGGGCGGCTTAGTTGGTGCTAGTGTAAAGGGCAGGGCAGGGTAGGGTAGGGTAGGGCATGGGTTCCAACTGCATCTGCACTACCAACCGCACTGAAGGCCCTCTTGGGTGCGGAGGAGGATATGACTTCCACATTTCATGTAGGGGTATTCCATTCTCAGACTGTGTTGCTGTAATCTCTAGCCACCTTCACAACATTGGCAACAACATTGGCTTGAGCTAATTCTGGTCTTCTTGATGTCGTGGTTGAGAGAGTACGCTTTCCTGTCTGTGCATCGGGCACGTGCATCTCACTTGTGGGCATCTCATGGAGAGGCGCCCAGTACCACTCTGAGAATTGTCAGGTTCCAATTTCAGTTTAGTGTATTCTGTTGTTGTGCTGTCTATCAGGAGGCATGCAGAATTTACCTCCGATGTCACTGCTTGTCACTTCCTCCTCGCTGACAGCCCTACCTTTGACAGACTCCTCCGTTGACCTTGGTAGCAATAGATTTATTACATACTTCTCACTGCCCTTACTAATTCTGCCTCCGTTATACTCTACAACTAACTAGTCTCTGATCACGCATATTAAACCTTAAGCACGCCCTACCCTGCTGTGCTGTATGACCCTTGTGGGTTTAGCGCTTAGTTATGATTGTAATAAAAAAAATTTCTGAACCAGACTGGCTGTAGAGGTACCTTGCACCTCCAAAGTGTTGCACTATCAAGATTGCTGGTCTTTAATTAGTCTCCTGAATAATAACAGGTAAATCTTACAAATTACATTGCATTCAGCACACTGTTTACCTATGCTTTCTTGTGTTGTTTTTTGCACTTGGTTCTCACCCCTGTAAAATTTGAGGCCCAGTTTGAGACCAAGCCACTGGAATAATCTCAAGAACTGGATAATGGGTAAAAGTATCCTAGAATTTGGTTTTAACCCTTTGACTGTCGCAACCCCCAATCCTGAGGTGTCTCCTGGTGTCGCAAAATTTAAAAAAAAAAAATTATTTTTTCTTATGAAATGATAGAGAATCTTTTCCCGATTGTAATGACACCAAAAAAAAAAAACGAAATTTGATGGAAAACTGACGGAATTATGCTCTCGCGAAGTTAGCGACCTCGGCGCTGTTTACAAATCGGCGATTTCGCCCACTTTGAGCCCTATTTTCGGCTAATTCCATTGTTCCAGTCGCCCAAACTCATAGCTATTTCTTTAGAACTTCATTTTTTCTATCGATTGAGTACAAGAAACTGCCCATTTACTGATTTCAACTACCTAATAATGTGGTCAGAAATTTGCAATTTGGCCAATTTCACGAAAACTAAAAAATATGACAATTTCAAAATAAGGTCCAGAATGAACAATGCAGACATTCCAGGCTCTAAAATAACGTTTTCTTTGTTCATCAGTCACGTCTCCAGGCCCCTCTGATATTACTCTTGCTTTCTATTTTGAATTTTTTATTCAAACAAAAAAATATTAGACTTACTATTATGCAGACTACTGCAATGCTGTAATAACTGTATAAATAACATCAACCCATTCATGACTGCATATTAGAATGGCTAGTTGGACATTTATTGGACAATGGCATCATTTGTTTACTTTTGAACATTGGCAAAAATCAAACATTTCCCCTACTTTGAGCTCCATTTCTAGGTTCTTTTTATAGTAAAATCAATCAAAAACACCTCTATTTCTGTAATATGTTTTCCATTCTATCAAATGAGACCAAGGAAAACGAGAATACAACCATAAATACTATACGAAAATAGACCACAAAGTCGGCATTTTAATTAAAAAAAACGGTCGGAGTTTTTTTTTCTCATTATGCACTGCGTGCTCCAGGATTTTTTTTATATGGTGCACACTGACCACACAGACCCATTCTCTCACATGTGGGCCTACCAGCTTTCTCCTGCTTGATTTGAAGCCGCTAGAATTTATGAGTATATATATGTCAAACACGGCACCTCGTAAAACGTATATATACGGCCGCGACAGTCAAAGGGTTAATATTAAATAAGGAAATTCCTCCTCTTTCCTTATGTACTGTTTTTTTTTTTTCTGAACTCTTACTGTAGGGTGTCATCTTATTGTTGTGTGAAATACTGCAAGTTGTGATGTAATTACCATTCCTAGAAGAGTAGAGCTGCTTCACTAACTATAAAATAAAGAATTAAATATGGTAAAGTGATAATTTGAAAATGGCTATATGATACGAGACAGGTTCAGCAGGCATTCAGTGGTGTGCTGTAAAATTATTGTACTTATAGTGATTACTGTACTTATAGCAAGGTATGTACTGCTTACTATGAAAGTATGTGGGGATGTCTTGTAGAGACCTTGTTGTCATTTTATGGGAATTTTTACATGATTTAGCATTTTATTGGATGCTGGAGGATTTTAACCTTTTTGTTTTAATGGGTGTGCATATAAGGTTTTCTTGAAGAGTACAATAGTATATAATGTAACAGCTTCATTAGGTCCACTGTAACTGATATTACACTCAAAGCCTTTGAAAGTATTTTATCAAGGTTGTCCACACTTGATGGAAAAGACTGTATCAATAGGGTGGTTAAGGAGTGCCTCCGGCAAAAAAATGTAGCTTTTTTGTTTACCGTCCGATTTCCTCCAGTTTTGGTGCACAAGACAAAGTGTTTTCACTCATTCTTGAAAATATTTATCAAAAATATACCTCAAACGACAACTGAGAAAAGACTGAAAAAGACTGATTTTCTGAAAAATGTCCTTGTCTCAAAAATCATTCCTATATGGGACATCGTAAGGTTGTTTGGACACTTGGTGCCGAGAGAGCAATGCTTAAACTAATTTTAGGCAACGCCTTTTCTCTAAATAACGTATCTTTATATAAAAAAAAAAAAAATTTTTTTTTAGTTCCTGGAATACTGCAAAAAATCTGCCCTTTACTCCCACATAACTCCGAAAGTATTTGAATATTTCCAAAATTACCTTTAACAAAATTAGAGAAACCATTATTCTACAATTTCTGTGAATATATTCCATTTAATTAAGTAATAAATGCAGAAATAGCAACTGTAGAGGAATAAGTTACTTCCGAGATATAGGCCTAGAACGCCGGCCGGCCCACCGTCTCAAAAAAAAAGTTTTTTTTCGCGAAAATCGCGTTTGTTTGGGTGTATTTCTTAGTAAACTGATGTTCTAGTGCAGTTATCCTCTTCAAAAACACCGTTTTCTCTTACTCAGAGACCAAAAGAATACGACACGGAGACGACATGGAGAGCATAACTCAATATTTATCGAAATATTCCCGATATCTTTCGCCATATTATGGTCTTATTTTTTTCAGTCTAGAGTATATAACATGTTTGTATGTTATTTTGAGTGTTTATTATATCATATTAGAACAATTCTGATAGATAATAAGCTGTAGAGTTGATATATAAGCTGATATAAGCGTAATAATGAAGTGATTTTCTCCTGGCGCGGCAACCCTTCCGCGCATTATGATATGATTAATGACTGTTGCTCAATCTAGGGATAAGCTCCGCCTTCAGTTTTATGATGCCAAGTACTCAGTTATTATATTAGAAAGTATAATGCAAGAAAAAGCGATAAAAAACAAGGAAAAATTTCCAAAATATATATGGGCTGTGAGCAGACTCGCTACCAATATCACCGTCACCTTACCTCATATAAATGACTGTAATTTCTTGTAGAAACGTCGTAGAACATTCATTCTGGTACCATTGTGTTGCCAAAGAGTTGAGCTATTTTTCAGTATATATAACTCACTATCCATATTTTTCCGATATTTCGGTGAGCGCGCGCGGAAATTTGCCGGAGGCACTCCTTAAGTTCATCAGTGTTTTTGCTAATATTTAAGTCTTGTTCTTGACAAGTGTATGTTGCAATGGTGCCTTCAGTTGGCACTCAACAATTGCAAATATTTGAAAGCTCAGTTTTGTTTTAGTAATTCCTGTGAATAGGATGCTGGAAATTTTTAAGACAAGCTATGTAATTTATGTACAGTACTATTGCATTATTAGTTATTAATAATTTTGTAGTTGCAAATTTAGTATTGTGCTTATTTGGGTTAATAATGCATGGTCAGTAATTGGCATTTGTTAACAGTGAGGCGGATGGAGTACCAAGTACAGCTCTACGGGAAATTTCCCTTTTGAAGGAACTTGATCATGAAAACATTGTACGTCTTCTTGATGTGGTTTATGGTGATCGCAAACTCTACATGGTCTTTGAATATCTTAATCAGGTGAGACATCTGGATTACAAAGGTTGCTTCACAGAGAACTTGGGACATATATACTTTTCCAAACAGGTGTATATAAAATAAATTTTAGAAAAATTATGAAGCAAGAGCAGTCTTTTCAATTTCAAAAAGTCCTCAATATTGTTTAAAATTCACAACTTTAATGGTGAGCCTTGTGGTAATAAGGGAAGGGAACATTCCCTGTCTTGATGTATGGTGAAGGCAGGGTTTAAGCTGGTTGGGAAATCCTTGTCAACTCTGTTGTTGACCATTATAATAATATATATAATTCCCCTCAGAATACAACAGTTTAGAAGCATATACATTGTATTCTGTTGTATAACTGTTGTATTCTGAGCACCTCTGCAAAAGCAGTGATAATGTGCGAGTGTGGTGAAAGTGTTGAATGATGATGAAAGTATTTTCTTTTTGGGGATTTTCTTAATTTTTTGGGGTCACCCTGCCTCGGTGGGAGACGGCCGACTTGTTGAAAAAAAATATATATATATAATTCCCCCTCCCCAGTTATTAAACTACCAAGACTTTATAAAGGTTAAAAACTTATTCTTACATTATGTGTGGCATTCCTTGAGCATTGACCAACATCACTTGGGAGAGGATCCACATGTTTTGCACATTTTATGCATTAGTTTTATTTAGTACGTATTATCATAACATACGTGTGTGTATATACTTGTATGTATATATATATATATACATACATACACGTATATATATTGCCACTGGCATTACTAGTACTGTTGTCTAAGTTTTATTAAAATAGGTGTTTTTCCCAAAAATGGTATCCTGATGCCATGTTTGCTCATGATCTCTTGTAGGGGATGACTTTTTTTTTTTTCTTCCCTACAAGAGACCTTTAATTTTAACTTCCTTATTTATAACTAAAATGTCATGCAGTTTCTCGATAGCCAGTTTAAATATGTTTTACCCTTTTTTAAGGGTTAACTCCCAACAAAAAGTGCCCTATTATTCATTTGAAACTGAGGAGGAAGGGAATGCCTCATTCCCTGCATCTCTTTACAATATCTTAATCGCTTAAAAAAAAAAATTGTCACCCATTGGCCACTTTACATGCAACAGATATCTTTTAAAGCAACAAATGAGCATTCTTTTATTTGAAATTTGCCTAGGTTATTGAGAGATTGACTCAAGAACAAGGTATGATAGGTCCTGATCATAGATTTGTTAATAGTATTTTTCTGTTCCTCCTTTCAAAATGCGATAGTACTATTGATGTAATTTGCTGTAAGTAATTACAGTTTATAAATTAAATCCCTTGCCTTAGTGTTACCTTTGGAGACTTGAGGGTTCAGAAGTGGGGAAAATGGATAATGAAAATACAATGTTTTTTAGCTCAATTTGGTGAGAATGCATTTATGATTATAGGTATTGATATAAATCTAGGGTATTCATTATGTACAGCTAGTTATGTAGCTTGCCTTTGGTCTTTCTAGCTTGTCTATGTAGTTTTTTCAGGGGATGACACTACAACTGTTGCATATTATAGTTTAGGTATTAGTGTTGTATGATTTATACAGGCCTAGCATTTATTTTTCATTATACTAATTTAATTTGGTTTAACATGGGTTGTGAATAATTTTAATGGCAGCTTCATGACCATCTTTTTTAAAACAACCAAAGCCCTTTCTGTAGCTGTTGCTTTAATATTTTATCACCATTAATCCCTAAATGGTCCAAACGTATATATACATTTTTACCGCTAGTGCCCCAAACGTATGTTTTAATTTTCCTCCCTCCAGATTTGGCACAATTGGCTTGAGATGCCTGGTCAGCATAGAATGGGTCTTAACAATTGGTGTGCACCATATTAAAAAAATCTGGGACCACTTAATGCTGTGGGAGTGCCAGCTAGAGCAAACAGTGTGGCAAACACCAAGGATTCACTGATGTAATGTCATATTAACACCCCTTTTAAGAGAAAAGTGATGTTAACCCCAAGTTTAGGGTCTTGTCTATCTGTCTGTCTGTCTTTTAATGTCTCAGGTACACACAAATAGTTATACAGTGGACCCCCGCATAACGATGGCATCACATAGCGATTTTTCCGCATACCGATTACTTTTATCGCAAAATTTTTGCCGCGCATACCGATTAAAAACCCGCTTACCGATTTTCGTCCGAGACGCGTCCAATGTGCCCTCAGCCAGCCTCACATGTGCCGGCCGTCCCATTGTTTACCAGCCAGCCTCCGCGGTAACATCCAAGCATACACTCGGAATATTTCGTATTATTACAGTGTTTTCGGTGCTGTTTCTGGAAAATAAGTGACCATGGCCCCAAGAAAGCTTCTAGTGCCAACCCTGTGGTAAAAAGGGTGAGAATTAGTATGGAAATTAAGAAAGATTTTGAAGGGTTTGGGGCTAACCCTGAGAAGCCTATGCCAGTTGTGGAATCCATTGTGCCTACTTCAAAGATTAAGGAAATGTGTGCACAGTGGGTTGAACTGCAAACCTTTATAGATGAAAATCACCCTGACACAGCTGTTGCAAGCCGTGTGGTGACTATTTCAATGACAATGTTTGTGGCCCATTTTAGACAAATCGTTAAAGGAACGGAGGTACAGAGCTCTATGGACAGATTTGTTGTGCGACAGAGGTCCAGTGACTCTCAAGCTGGTCCTAGTGGCATTAAAAGAAGAAGGAAGTAACCCCGGAAAAGGACTTGCTACCTCAAGTCGTAATGGAAGGGGATTCCCCTTCTAAACAGTAAGAAGATAATGCTCTCTCCCTCCTCCCATCCCATCAATCATCACCAGATCTTCAATAAAAGTAAGTGTCATTTAATTGTGCATGCCTTTTTCAGTTTGTGTGTATTAAAATTAACATTTCATGTGGTAAAAAAAATTTTTTTCATACTTTTGGGCGTCTTGCACGGATTAATTTGATTTCCATTATTTCTTATGGGGAAAATTCATTCGCATAACGATTATTTCGCATAACGATGAGCCCTCTTGCACGGATTAAAATCGTTAACCGGGGGTCCACTGTACTTTCTTCTTCTTTCTCCTCCTTCTTCTACACTCTCGTGTATCTCGTGGGACCTATAAATATTTGTATATATTCCTAGACACTTAAAAGTTTACTGAGTATACCAGAAAAAGTGTACGGTAGGGTTATTATTGAAAGAATTAGAGGTAAGACAGAATGTAGAATTGCGGATGAGCAAGGAGGTTTTAGAGTGGGTAGGGGATGTGTTGATCAAGTGTTTACATTGGAGCATATGTGCGAGCAGTATTTAGATGAAGGTAGGGAAGTTTTTATTGCATTTATGGATTTAGAAAAGGCATATGATAGTGCATAGGGAAGCAATGTGGCAGATGTTGCAAGTATGTACGTATATGTCAGCATAGTTGCTGATCCCTGTGTTATATAGCATAGCATATAGTATCATCCATGTGCTTTAGATAGGAGATCCCTTTTAGGCCTGTGACTTTGTGTGACGTCACGGGATGTGCATGTGTACGTTCGTACCTCTGCCTCGGCCTCAGTCGGCGTTTTGACACAGGCTAGGACAGGCAGAGGCTGGGCTCCATTTCTCATCATCACAGTCTGACAATATATATCGTTACCATCCAACAAGTGTGTCTACCGTCAACCCTCGATATCTCCATTTAAGAACCCCTACGATATATATGGAATAGGTGGTAAGTTACTAAATGCTGTAAAGAGTTTTTATGAGGATAGTGAGGCTCAGGTTAGGGTGTGTAGGAGAGGGAGACTATTTCCCGGTAAAAGTAGGTCTTAGACAGGGATGTGTTGTGTCACCATGGTTGTTTAATATATTTATAGACGAGGTTGTAAAAGAAGTAAATGCTAGTGTTTGGGAGAGGGGTGGGATTAAATTATGGGGAATTAAATACAAAATGGGAAGTGACAGTTACTTTTTGCTGATGATACTGTGCTTATGGGAGATTCTAAAGAAAAATTGCAAAGGTTAGTGGACGAATTTGGGAGTGTGTGTAAAGGTAGAAAGTTGAAAGTGAACATAGAAAAGAGTAAAGTGATGGTATCAAATGATTTAGATAAAGAAAAATCGGATATCAGATTGGGGAGAAGTATGGAAGAAGTTAATGTTTTCAGATATTTGGGAGTTGATGTGTCAGCGGATGGATTTATGTGAACATCAAAATGGTATACAATACCGACAGGTTGTTAGGTAAGACACATATGCAACAGTTAGACAACTTTATTCCGAAATGTTTCGCCTACACAGTAGGCTTCTTCAGTCGAATAGAGAAAGTAGGCAGGAACAGTAGAGATGTGAAGACGATGTAATAAGTCAATGGATGGATTTATGAAGGATGAGGTTAATCATAGAATTGATGAGGGGAAAAAAGGTGAGTGGTGCATTGAGGTATATGTGGAGGCAAAAAATGTTATCTATGGAGGCAAAGAAGGGAATGTATGAAAGTATAATAGTACCAACACACTTATGGGTGTGAAGCTTGGGTTGTAAATGCTGCAGCGAGGAGGCGGTTGGAAGCAGTGGAGATGTCCTGTCTAAGGGCAATGTGTGGTGTAAATATTATGCAGAAAATTCGGAGTGTGGAAATTAGGAGAGGGTGTGGAGTTAATAAAAGTATTAGTCACAGGGCTAAAGAGGGTTTGTTGAGGTGGTTTGGTCATTAGAGAGAATGGATCAAAGTAGATTGACATGGAGAGCGTATAAATCTGTCGGGGAAGGAAAGCGGGGTAGGGGTCGTCCTCGAAAAGGTTGGAGGGAGGGGGTAATGGTGGTGTTGTGGGCGAGGGGTTTGGACTTCCAGCAAGCGTGCGTGAGGGTGTTAGATAGGAGTGAATGGAGACAAATGGTATTTGGGACCTGACGAGCTGTTGGAGTGTGAGCAGGGTAATATTTAGTGAAGGGATTCAGGGAAACCAGTTATTTTATAAAACCGGACTTGAATCCTGGAAATGGGAAGTACAATGCCTGCACTCTAAAGGAGGGGTTTGGAGGGATAT